ATAGACTTTTTAGCCGTACGAGTATACGTTGCCCAGGGTGCACCAAGTGGAGATAAGTCTATCGCACGCTCCTCTCTTCAAAATAGAACCACATTATTTGTGTTTGAGTAGGTTGTTTCACCATGTTCAGAAATTTCTTCGCCTTCATCAGACGATGATGCTTGAGGGCTTTTCGTTTCAGAAGTTGATCTTGGAAATGCCTGTAAGAGCTTGTGGTTGAGAAGGTGTCTATTGAATGCACGTAAGACGGTAGAGGCTGAAATATTCGAAGAACTGCAGTCTCAAAGCTCGAATTCCAATTTCAAGGTGCTCAAACACTTGCCCAGCGCTTTCCATCGAAAACGGTTGTGGGAACACAGTCAGATCAATTTTCCTCGTGATTATTATTCAAATTCTTCAGTTGTCGCTGAACAGTTTGATTTGGCAATGTTGAGAGAACATAATACAAGTAATTCTCATCCATAATTCAGGTATTTTTGAGTCTTCAAACATTTTTGTTGGCATTATGCAAATGGATACAGAAAGTTCTAAGCTTTTATAGAAAGTGAAGTGTGCGAGAACACCGTTAACACACCTGTAAAATTTGCCTCCAATAACCTGATAATGATACTGGAAATGAATCAAAAAGAGATATGTTCCTGAACTCCACCTTGGTTAGCCCAAATGAATTCGTATTTTTATTTGGAAATGTCTTATCCACTGTTCGCTAGCTGCTTTTTAGATGCTAGAGAACACGGAAGAATTAAAGTGGAGCATATTTTTTTCAGTACAAAAGTAATTGGGGAACATAAAGCTATCTCTTGAACTGTAAAGTTTTGGGCATTAAGACATTAAGCAACAAATTATAAGCCTTGTACAACAGTGAATGAGTCCGAACGGAAATTACTTCCAACCAAACGGATCACTTATTACTGTCTTACGTCTCGTCAACTTCAATCCAAACCATACTCCACTCTGGTACTCCTTGTTGCCTCTTTATTAAAATTTGACTTAAGATGATAATTTAAAGTTTAAAATATATACATGTGGGACACGTTATCGCTGTGTGCGTCATCGTATGCCTGCATGTCTACTCGCCAGGATTGGGAGGTGCGGCCGAACAACTCTGTGCAGCGACCGTACAAACAGTGACCAATCATTAACCTCTGTTTAACCTAACCCCCCATCCTGATCATGAGTACACTTGATCCGCAATATACTCGTTGAATAAACGTGCTTCTTGCTGTACGTCTGTTTCCTTCATAGCTGGGCTATAGCTTAGCTGGTTCTGGGAGTCTAGCTAGATGTGGGAGAATCTGCCACAGAGATTTCTGAGTCAGTCAGGCTTTACTAAGGTAGTAATCCGCTACAGATCATAGAATCGCGTTGAGCAGAATTTATAATAATATAAGTACAAGAAAATCGTTAGTTACTAAATATTCCACTAATGAATTTTTTACAAATCATAGTTGCTTGATCATTATGGCATTTATTAAACTTGATTATTCTCTAAGATCTATCCCTATTAATATGTATTGATTGAACTCTAAAAGGCGATTGAGTAATGGATAACCAAACAGTGACTTGGTGATAATTAACAAAAAACTCTGATCTACTCTCCTAACAAGGAACTCTTGCAACCACTCCACTTGCTCAACATCTGCAATTTTTCTCGTTATTTCTCTCTCTTTCGCAAATATAATAACTATTCAATTTAATTATGCACCTGGAAGATTGGAAAAAAACTTGAAAAGTGAAGGTAGAATAGAGCCCAACCATTTTAGTAACTGTGAGGCCATGTTTTGGTTAATTCTTAAGTAAAAAGAAAAACATTCGACAACACTCCCTTAAACCAATCAATGTGGGGATTTCAAATAAATCAGAGAGGTTCTAGACTGTATGCTTCTAATAAAATTATAGAAGAACAGAACCCATTACCGCCTCTCAAGGTTTTAATACCAAAGAATTGAAAGAATATGCATAGAGTTAATAAAAGCAGTCGATAATGTCTAAGATAAGGTCAGGTGCCACGGAGTTGATCTCATGACAAACTCATATTTCACTCGCATTTTAACTGTAGTTAGCAAATGGCTTTATCTCTAATGTCACTGGAAGTAAGTCAGTGAATATCGATCATTAATTGGCCACTGAGCATGAAATGACCTTGATTATCCAATACTTCTCATCTATAACTCTACTTAGATGAAAAATTACCAATTTGCAAAAATATAATTATTGTCTCTCTGCCTCTTAAAAGGTTTTAAAACCAAATAGCTCACTTTATCTCATCTTTAGGCAAATATAATTTTTAGTTATTTCGACATAAATATGAATTAATCATTTTAAATGCAAAAAAACATTTTAATACAACGCAAGTTTGCATTTTATGCAGCTCACGATGAACTAAAATTGCCTCAAGTTTCGATTTAGATTTTAAAGCGTGCTCCGTTTAAGCGTGGGGGAAAGACAGTGACGAACTATTGGCGTGAAATTTGCATAAAACAAAGTAAAGTTTTTAGACACCGACAAAAAATGTCTCAAGTTCCGTAGATCAAATACATTGCATTTAGTCAAAACAAACAAGTGATCAAATATAGTAGCAAAATAATAATAATAATAATTTAATCCTAATAAGGTTCCCTAACATAACATAATTGAGCTCGTAGATCTAATGGGAAAGCGAGTTTATCATATGTTGGCTAAAAGATTCGCAGACGTTAACTTACAGTTCGCGAGGAAGTTAGAGCCTTCTTGACAGTTCTCTTTAGAGCCTGCTTGAAATGTCCTCCAGATTTCCCAATAGTTGAGTAAGGCTGTGTAGAGTTATCTTCCAGTCTCTCGAATGGAGAGAAGTCGTTGAAATATAGAGAATTTCCAGTTTGATTTATATAATCCCACCCACCGGAATTTCCTCCTATCATACTATACGTCTCCTTCACACTACTTGATTCCATTTCTTGTTGCATTCCGTAGTCTGTATTCTTCTCCGTTGGATTCCGCTTAAGAAAACGGTCTCGGATATTGAAGATCTGTTCACTCACTGACCTTCGGTGCTTGCGTTCCATTCGATCCTGGGGATTGTGCGTGGTGGGAGCTTTGGGGGAGGGAGTAGGCGTGCCGGGAGGTTCATTCGAATACTGGTAGGAATTGGAGTTATTCTGTGTGCTGTAGTCAAAATCATCAATATCTGACATGGTGAATTTGATTTCAGATTATCTCACTCACAATGCAAAATTAAGGAATACAAGCTTCTCTCTTTCTCTTAGTATGTGTAGGACCACTTACATGAGCTCGCAATCACTCTCCAACTTTCAGATATCTGCAGGCGCACTGATTGCTCAGTTTCGTCTGACCTTGCACCAGGCATGTGCCAATAGGAGCGCCGATTGCAAGTTTATGCAACCATCTGAAGAGCATCACGAAGGGAATGAATTTATGTTTTTCAATGAATTGCAAATAAAGATAATTTCTGTTATTTTTCTGAGGGCAACAACAATAATTTGCTAAAATCTTATTTATTAATTTATTTTATATCAAATGGCAGGCGTTTTGATAGTTACTATTAGCCCCCTAGTTAACTTCAGGCTTCGCAGAGGGGAAGGATCATCAAATTGAAAAAAATGCGAGAGGGAGGGGGACAGAAGAGTGTTTTAAAAATGTAAAATAGACAGACACAAAGGTAGAGAATATGATAAGGTGAGGTGAGGTGAGTACGGTGAAAGGGGTCGAATATGACAAATAGTCGGGTCACAGTAGTATGAAGTCAGAAGGCGACTGCCGATCAATAGACTTTTTTGCCATATGAATTTACGTTGCCTAGGGTAAACCACGTGAAGGTAGATCTTTCTCGCATCACCGCGCAGATAAATAAATAAATAATGAGATATACTTGACGATAGGAGAAAGCCAATTGTGCTCAAGCATCATGTCTCACGGGTGTCCAGAACTAATAAAATAAGTATTCTCCAAAGCTAGTTTTGAGCAGACTTGGGGGAAATCTGGGTTTTCATTGGCTTGATTCAATGATGTGCATCAACGGCTAAACAAACCGTGCCCTTTGACTTTGCAGAGGAGAACGACACACTAACGGTACTTTTAATAATCTAGCTATCAGCTTGTCATTCTATTATCTGGCTAGTCTCATATTCCCAATCTACGAATAGGCTGACTTTAAATGCCGCAAATATGAACTACCACTCAACAAAAATAATTTAGAAGATGCATATTCTGAAACCACTCTGATGAGTAGGTGACTAAACAAAAATTAACCAGCATATTTGATTATCCAATTACTTGGATGTGCATTAGCTAGAGCCAACCTCTTGAAGGTTAACCACTATGGTGTCGGTTTAATTGAACTATAACCCTATACAACTCTATTATGTCCTACTTTTAAACAACCCCTACCCACCTCCTTACTTCTCTTGAATTGGGGTGCGCGATAGACTTACCTCCTCGTGGTGCACCCTGGACAACGTATTTTCTTACGGCAAAAAAGTCTATCAATCGGCATACGTTTTCAGGGCTAATGATAAATATCATAAAGCCTGCCATTTGAAATAAATAAACTTCTCTTGAAATGCTCCAATTTTGCCTATTGTAAGATACGGGGTTCATTAAAGGGAAGGAATTAGAAGTTATGTTTCTGCTTTTATTTATTTTAAATGGCGGGCTTTAT